ATAAGAACAAGGACGGAGAAACAATTTTTAGGAAGCTATGGATAAGTGATTATCCCGAATCAGCTTGGAGCTAGTGTCCTTTTAACCTTTGAGGAAAAATACAGTAAAAGTTACTTATAGACCTTAATACATTCCATATAGCTTGGCTTTTAGATAGCTTTGAAAAATAGGAAAGGAGGAAGACAAGATAGGAGGAGTTTGGTAGACAGATGTCCCCATATATTTCTCATCTCAGCAGTTTGGAAGTATGAAAATTGTATATTTGTGCCATTAACTGAGGAGGTAGTATCTAAACTCTGATCTTTTTTTTTGCCATTTTTCAACGTCTAGAATTTTTTTGGCTTGGATCCTTTTTAAAGGAAATTGAATGTCTAACAGCTCCTTCTTTAATGGGAGTTTCATGATGTCTGATGTCATGCTTACTGTAAACCCCTCTAGCCTTTTGGCACCAAAAAAAAGATATGGAAAAAGATATGGAGAATATTCTATTAAAGAGCCCACCTACTCTTGGCCACTAAAAGAAAGGATAACAGTTGTATATATTTCATCTATTTATAACTATCCTCATTTCTAAGTGAAAATATAGCAAATACTGTAGCGTTGCTCAGCTTCTTCTGATTTATTGTATTTTGTGTCTCTAAGAGTAGTCAGTGCTTCTATCAGGTTCAAAGTTTTCTGCCCATTTTAATAGTGATTCAGTGATATTGATACATTTTGCTGCTACTACTACCATGGTGTTTTAATACTGCAAGCACTTTGAACATAATTGGCCTATTTAGGACTGCATGCTATTCATTTTGGCAACTTGCATGTTTAGGGCTGTGATAATTTCCAGTAAGTGTCAGCATTTGATTCCTAATTTATGCCCAGTTGGAGGTTTTGGTATAAATGAACCAATTGTTATATCATGAGTCTTAAAATTCTGATATTCTTTAAGTGATTTGTAATTGGAAAGGGCCTCTAAGTCTCAAATCAAGTCTTTATTTTTTTCTTTGGTTTCCTATTACATTGGTCGGGTGTGTGTGTGTGTCTCATAGTATAGTCTAGCACCCTCTAAGAGATTTGGGCTTAGGAACAATATAAAATACTATTTTATATTAGCTACTATTCTCTGGTATTATTTGGGCAGATTTATTCAGACAGGTAAGCAGATACTGTTTATTGGTTACCTAGTTTAGGTAATGAAATGTCTGCAAGAAAACAATCAAGTTCAGAGAGTACCAAGGACCCCTCAATTTAACCCTGAATTACAAATATTCTCTTTTATTGGTGTGTGTGTGTGTGTGTGTGTGTGTGTATGTGTGAGTGAGAGAGAGAGAGAGAGAGACAGAGAAAGAGAGAGAGAGACAGAGAGAAATATTCTCCTGTATTGGCGTGTGTATGTGTCAGAGAAAGAGAGATTGCAAGCATTAGTCTTTTCTGAAAAGTGGTCTTTTCCCCTATATTGGGGAAAGAACCATTTTCCAAAGTAGGACCCAGGTTCTTGAAAAGTAATTGGTGGAGCGCAAGTTATGAGAGGTTGAGAACATACCAGCATATATTAGTAAGCATATATTAGGGGATACTTTTGCTAGTTTCCATGTTGTGACATGCTTGCTAGAAATATGGTAATCACATCAGAAGTGCAAAGATCAGACAGCTGTTGCAGGGGATATGAAAAATTGTTCATCTGTCTAGAGTCATACTTATGCTAAATGGCTTGATTGTTTTTAATTTAGAAATTTCTCTCTGTTTCATTGAAGGAGAAAAGATAATAGATAAAAAAAACATGGTCTCACATCAAAGTATTTTTTTCCACAGAAAATGTTTCCTTTACCACAACTAAAAATAACTAAGCACAAATATCTTTGTTTAGTATCAAAGCTCCTTCCAAGTACTTTAGAATACTAAATTAAGAATAATAGTTCTTAATTTTTTATAGCAAAGATGGCTTGCATTCTTATACAATCACAATGGATTTTTTTTGAAAAAAAGAATGTACCTTTTATGTGAATTTAAATGCTATGCTTTAAATTATTACATTTCACAATATTATGCTCATTTTCTTTTCCTATTTATATCTCCCTTCCCGTACAATCTTAACTTTTGCAATATATATGTGGTTTATTTAATAAAATTGTAAAATAGCAATGTGCTGTGTGGTGTTGTGTAAAATTCTTGTTAGTCCTGCTCAGTTCAATTGATTGTATTTTCAGGTAAGTATGTATGATACTGTAATTTTGTTCTGAATACATTAAGTCAGCCTTAGGCAGCATGCTCCCCTTCAGATGTGTTTGGATTACAACTCATGAGATTCTTTACCATAATGGCCTGTTGTGGAGTCTGACCACTTGATTGGATTGTTAAAGTGGTAGGCAGTGCAGGTGATAGTGTAAGGTGGTGCTTGTAAAATGTGGCCCTAGCACTATAGGCATGTTCCCCATATTTTCTTTATTATTGGTGCCACACCCACCTGCTGCTAGATTGTATCATAGATAAAAGGGAAATAGCTAATGACCAATGGAGCATGCACATCTCCATGGCATTTAAAGAGCACTCAGCACTTTTGGTGGTTGGCCAGCACTTGGTGCCATATGGTACATTATTTTATGCAAGTTACACACTTTGGATCTCAAGTGAATTGGTATATGCCTATCCCAAAGCATTCCAAAGATCTCCTTCGACCTCAGCCATGTTGCATCCATCCTTGTGCATTCATTACTGCTGCCATCACTTTGCAAATGGGATCCTAAGTAATGGAAGAATTTTGTCTTCTCTAGATCTTCACTGCTGATGCTGAAGGTGTTTAGTTTCCAGATTTCAGTTTTCTTGATAACAAGGCGCAAACCAAATTAGCTAAGATGATTGTTCCATGTTTGAAAAGAGTGGTGCAGTTCTTCCTTGTTGGTAGCTGTGAGCAGGACATCATCAGCATAAAGCAAGTCCCAGATTTAATGTGATGCTTATTCATGATGAGAATAAATAGCAATGGTAATAATGCCGAGCCTTAGTGCACATTAATTTTCATAGGAAAGCTCTTGGAAAAGCCAGTGTATAGTAGTTGGCTACAATAAATAAATATCCAGACCCATTTTATAAGTGGCTTGGGCACACCATGGTCACGTAATGCATGCCATATCATCTGACATGGAAGATAATTAAAAACTTTTCTCCATGTTTCTCCATGTGGGCTGCAAAAATGGTATCAGTGGTACTCAAGTCTTTGACAATAGCTGCACTGATGATACTGATTTCAAGAATGTCACTTGGTTGAGGTTCCACTCAAAAATTTTAATTGTGTGTGATAAACTGATTGGTCAGTAGTCTTCCCATTTGCCTTTGTCCTGAAGAGGAGACCTGTGATACTCGTGGCCCAGTCAGGGTCCACAGTGGCATTGAAGAAGTTTGTCAGCCAGTCAATTGCTGTGTTGTAAAGTTCTTTCAGTTTCCAGATGTCTGCTGGTAGATTGTCTGGGACAGATGCTTTCAAATTCTTCATGCCACTGATAGCTTTGATAACTTTTTCAGCTGTAAAGTACAGGATTGAGCCAACTTTTAGCCAAGCCATCAGAAATTGGTAGGTGTGGAAATTTGACATTAGAGAGTTCATCAAAGTACTCCTGCCAGTGTTTCAAGATTTTGAGTTTATTCTGCAGTTGCCAACTATTTTTGTCCTTAACACATAGGTAGCGTTCTTTTGCTGCCTTGGCGTGTGTTTTCTTTAGTCAATAGATATTTTCCTTGCCATCTCATTGTTGTTCATTTAAATCCTGATAACAATTGGCTTTAGCCTCTATGACAGCTTTCTTAGCAGTTCTTGCAAAGATGTACTTTTGCCAGTTTTCACTAGTCTTCTGCATATACCTCTTTTTGTAAGAACCTTATTTTTCTGAACTTTCTGCTGCACTTGCTCTGTCCAGAGCCACACCTGCTTGTGTTTTGATGACAACCTGGTCTTGCAGTGCCTAGGGATATTTTTCACAGCAATGATATCGGACTCGCAGAAATTCAAATGGTATCAATCTAGCCTGTAGTGATTGGAGGAAATGTGATGCAGTTAATGATGACCACATTGTGCTTTTATAGCTTCCACCACTTGATTTTCTCTGGACCCATTATACTACCGTCACTCTGTATGTTTGCTGATCTTTATATCAGCAGTAATCATCTTATGTTGGAGGGTGAGACAATCAGATGGAATGACTTTTACCTCCATGATAGTGGGGAAGTCACATTGTTGCATAAGGATAAAATCAATCTGGCTGTTGTGGTTGCCATTAATATAGGTGTGAATTTAGAATAGTTGATTTCTAAATAATTCAAAATGAATGAAGGGCTAGAAATGCTCCCTAAGTTTAATGAAAGTTTAGATTTCTTAATGTCCATTCGGTCATATGAACTGCTGAATGGTAGTTTTGTTTATCAGATCCCAACATCAATGTTCTGCATATTATTTATTAGCTTTATAACACATTTTTCATTTGGAAACTTAAGGTGGCATACATAGCACTCCTTCTTCAATTTTTCCTTGCAATTTTGTGAGATGATTGAGAAACATAACTGGTCTAAAGTCACCCAATAAGATTCTGAGACTAAAGGTGGATGTCCTCACACCTAGTCTAATACCTTCAGCATTATAACATCCTGGCTTTCATAGATTTCCCAGCAACTGACCAGATATTGAAAGATTTAGGATTTTAGGGATGCCTGCTCATTCAGGACACTAAACTAAAGATTACCAATTGCTATTTGTGTGGAGCCAATAATATAGCAGACCTGTAAGCAGACTATGCTAACCGTTTCCTTTCTTTACAATGGTAGATGCATTCTGATTGGAAAAATGGATACACCAACTAAGGCTCACAATCATTTCATTGGCTAAATTTATTTGATGTGTTACTTCCCTTTGAGCATCTGATTTATATGTGTCTCAAATAGATTGAGCATGCTTTAAGTGTTTGTGTGGTAACCATACATGAACTTCCTTTCTCATTTTACCACCCTATTTCATTTCATTTCAGAAACAGATATGAACACATTTTGGGGGAAAATTAGCACTATTATCTTGGATTCTGAACTAGCAACGGGTATCAAGCATTCTCCTGCAGTCCCAGGACTTACTCAGTTTCTCCAGAGCATCACCAGACTCTTCACATCTATGTGTTCAGAACCTAGATTTGCAAACAGGAATTTACTTACTAAAAGTAATACAATGAATCCATGTTTGTCAGTTGAATACCTGCTACATTCAGACTTTTGTGAAGTACGCTTATTGGTCTTAGAAACAATCCTGCTATGGTTGAATCAAGTGAATGCAAAACATGTGATGGAAGAAAAAGGAAATGTTCTGTTGAATCTACTATCTGGCTTGGAGGAAACACTTATTAAGATAGCTGTTAAGGAAAAGCATCCTGAATGTTTTTGCAAGGTGATACCCTATTTTTTTTTCTTTTTCTTTAGGACAAGTAATTTACATATAATAAAATAAAAACTTAAAGTAACATTTTGTGCTGGCCTATGCCTGAATAGGGACTACAGGGTTGTAAAAGAAGAGGGTTTTTTATGAGCATAATAAAACATTTTCTTTTTCTCTCTCTCAAATTAAACTTGTTATATATTCCAATTAGGCTCAGAACAGTATTTCCTGTAGCTGATTTTTTTTTTCTGTAATAGATATTAGAGGTTCTGTATAAAATGGACCTCAGAAGTGTGCTTGCAAAAATGGAAGATGCTGTAAAAATGAATCCAAGAGAGTTCTTGCATTGGATTATGAATATTGCAAATACTTCTGGCAGGTATACTGTCTTGTCTTTTTGTGTTTGGTTAATCTATATTTACTGATTGCAGACTGCTAATGAAAATGAACTTTGATACAGAAAGGGAAAACATTATTTCTGAATTTTATTAACTGTAATCTTATACATTTTCCCACTTAAAACAAAGATTGAGCCTGGAATTAGAGTTGTAAGCCATCCCAATTTTTAAATGAGATACCATGTAACTGCATTTGATTTTACAACCTTTTTTGCATCAACCGTTAAGTAAACGCAGCAGTCATTGGGAGAGGACCCTCTCCTGGCACTTCACTTACAGTCACAACTAAGTTAAATGGTCACTTAAAATGTCTCATTTAACAACAATTTCATTCTGCAACCAAGATTCTGGGCCCAGTTTTGGTTGTAGGTGGAGGACTGCCTGAATCAGAAACTACATTATTTCAAGTCTGGAAATTGAGTCAGGGCAACTAAACTTATTTAACAAATCTAATGAACCTATTCGTTAGATTCTCCCAAACCAACTTGCTCAGACTAAATAAACTATTTGGATAAGCAGCGAAATGTTTCAGAGCAACAAAATATAAGCCCAGTTGCCATGACACAACTTCCAGACAATTCTACCTGGATGACTGAGAATCTTCATCAACATACAATATTTAAACATTATCAGGACTTAGCGCATGGATAGTTTCATACATTTAAGGCACATCTTTCTCATGCATAAGATAAACTTGTTTAGCTTGTTTACTTATGCTTTCTCACGAGCAGCCATGAAAAATTGAATTAGGTTAATCTTAATTCTGGATTCAGCAACAAAACAATATGCTTATGTAATAAACCCTATCTCTACCTGGTGGCCTCCAGATTTATAAAAATTACATTTCTTAAATTGTCATGCTAGTTGGGAATTTGGGGGTTAAATATCTGGAGATATTTAATAGATAAGGCTTTTAAAGCAAGTTAGCAAGAAATACTGTATTTTCAGACACATTGCCTGTTGGTTGCCACACTATTCTTATTAAAGATTTAATTTGGTATATCTGTGTTAACATTTATTTTTGCAGCATTGAAATTCAAAGCATATCCCTTAAATTTGCCTCAGAGTTGCTTGTATATCTTATACAAAACTGGCAGGAGGTAAGGAAAATTATTTACCAAATGTTTGCTCAGTTATGCTATGATTAAAAACAGTCATAATAAATACAAAATTACTTTTTGTAGAATCTTTAAACATCATATTTGTTTTGTTGAAGCATTTAAGTTAATTGATTCATATCTAAACAGCCTGACATTAGAAATTCAACCCTAATGCACAATAACAATACATCTAGGAAGGTTTCTGGATTATTGTAGTGTAAATTTTCACAGAACTTTTTTAAAAAAGTTTGTCTTAGCTTTTATCTTTTACATTCTAATTTTTAATTGCTGATGTGATTTAATTTAATTGCTTTTTTATGGACACTCAAGTGGTTTTGGATTTTTGCGCAGAATCCTTTTTTTAATCTATGGAATTGGAATGGCTGAATATTCATTATTGGCTATTTATTTATTATTCAAATGTATATAATTGCCCATTTCATATATATAATACATAACTCTGGATAGCTTGCAAACAAATATATAAAAAACAAGATAGAAAGAACAATATTTTTATTAGTTATACAAAAGGCGGTTATATAAATGTTTTGAATTAAATAAATACATTTAAAAACAAGAAAAATATATAAAAGTATATAAAAAATCATAAATACATGCAACTTACAGCTGAGCTAATCTCGTTCATCAAAAGAATCAGTTCAGTTACTGCACCAGTTCCACCACATTCCCCTGTACCTGTTGGCAAAATCGTGTCTTCAGGGCCTTGCAAAAAGCCAGCAGGGTCAGAGCCAATCTGATTCCTGTGGTGGGGGAGGGGTCCATGGGTGGTTGAGAGATGATTTTCCATGGGATGGTTGCCAAGGCAGAAAAGGCTTTCTTTCTGGCTCCTGCCAGATTAAATTTCCTGACTGGTGGGACCTGCAACATGCCCACCTGCCAGACCTTGATGGGATGATTAGATGTAATGGAGGAGAGACGATCCCTCAAGTAACCTGCTCCCTATAGAGCTTTATAGGTTATTACTAGCATCTTCAATTGAACCTGGAAGCAAACTGGCAGCCAGTGCAGCTCACAGAGCAAAAGCATAATATGCACAGATTGCAGAACATGCATAACTGCCTGCACGGCTACATTTTGAACCAGTTGAAGCTTCTGCACACTCTTCAAGGACAGCTCCGTGTGTAGTCAGCGTTCAAAGTACTAGCACCCCTTCCACAAACCCACTACGTCCTAGTATATTTATATTTATTGATATTTTTAAAGAACAAGATAAAAACTAACACAAACTAATATAAAGTAAGGAAAATAAAAAAGTAAAAAGCAAAAATTGCAAGAAAACAAAAAAGTTCAAGAAAAATAGGAAAGGAAGAAAAAAGATGTAAGAAGTGGCTTTTGATATTCTTTCCAGCAGTTATAAGAAGAAATATATTTTAAGCTCTAGAGTCACATCAGATTACACTTTTTGTCTATAATCTATTCTGTCTAATCATCAAACCATGAATCACAAATTCATTTTTTTCATTTTTGCACAAAAAGTCTACAAGAGGTTTTCAGTCATCAGTTAATGTAGATAATATTTTTTCTCTAATCAAAGAAGTCAATCTATCCATTTCAGCACCATCTCTCAACTTTACCAATCATTCTTGCTTAGTAGGTAGTGTTGAATCTTTCTATCTTTGTGCATCTCTCCACAGTAATTGTATATTGTATACAATATACAATACAATATACAATACAGTATATATTTTAAATGTATATTGAAATAATCTTCCATTTTTTCCTTGTGTATAATATAAATGATGTAAACTCGTAGCATTTAAAAAAAAACTTTTTATTGCTTTTGAGTTAGTAGTGATTTCTAGTGACTGCCTGCAGTTTTCTTGGCAAGGATTTCAAAAATGGTTTGCCATTCCTTAGGGCTGAAACATAATGACTGGCCTTAAATCACTCTACTGGTTCCTAAGATGGCCCAAGAACTCATGGTTTTATGCTTTCTAGCCAGGATCTTTAATCAATACATCAGCTGGCTCTTAGCAATTAATTTACAAAACTATTAATTTGGGTGATAGAAATTGTCCAGTGCACAACGTTCTGATTTTGCAGAGTATTGACCGCTATTGCAGTAGTTTTAATGGCAGTACCAATTGTTTTATAGGACTTGGAATCAGAGACAAAACAATGGCTTGAATTAGTTAGCTATTGCTGTGAAGATGAACAACAAACAGATCTGAGATTGGCTGCTGCAGAGATTCTTGTGAGCATTACACCATTTTTCCTGACTGATCAGAAGCTTCCCTTGGGTAAGTAATTAGGCAAAGCAAGTAAGCAAAAGTTATTTCTTTTTCACTCTCATTAAATACAACATAAGAATAAAATACACACTGAAATTTGTACAGTCGAGTTTTATAGTTTGTGCTTCTTGGTTAACTTGCTTCTGTAGTATTTAAGGTTGTGATAAACACTTTTAGAATTCTTTATAATTTGGGGGTAATTATTTGTGGGACTGCTTACTCCAAGTAGTAATCTGTTTACCCAAGATGTACTTGCCAAGAGTTCCCACTCCATATGAGGTGCAATGGGAGGAGGTTCAGAGGCAGATGTTATCTGCAGGAACTCCTTCCTTCAGGAATGCCTTATCACCATACAGAAGAGCTGGGCCTTTATTCATGATATTTAGGAAATTATTAAAAAAAAAAACCAGACCCTTCTAAAGGACATTTGGAACTCTGTACCTGAGATGATTGGTGGTGCTACTAATATCATTCTGGACGAATGAAGAGGAGGTGTTTGAGATGAGATTATTCTTGATTATTGATGTTATTTATTAATTTATGTATTGTTATTATTCTTGATGTTTTACGGTGCACTCCTTAGATTTCTTTTGATGGAATATAAAAACCAGTGTCATAAATAAATATGTAGGCAAAATTTACACATATATTGTAGATTTAGAGTAACGTTATTTTAGAATACAGGTAGATCTCAACTTACAAACATTCATTCAGCAACTATTCAAAAATAAAGCAATGAAGAAAGGGGGCTTGCGCCCAATCTGTGAAGTTGTGATCAGCGGGGGGTCCCTAGGCTCAAGTAATTGTGATCTGGGCGCCTGAGCACCCAGCTCACGGTTATGACATTGCTGTGATTGCCGTTTGCAACCTCCCCTGCTGGCTTCCTACAAGCAAAGTCAATGGGAAAACCAGCAGGGACGCTTGCAAGTCGCCCCAGTTCTGCCACTTTTTCTCTTAAGGAGCCCTAGTAACACAGTCATCCCCAAACTCGCCCATACTTCCCAGCACCCACATGCTGCCCTTGCCAGCTCACCCGCAGCATACCGTATTCCCCTGTGCCCCTTTCCTGGGACTCTTGCCTCTTCTGTGTAATGACTTGTTACGGTCCTAGGGTTACAACAGCAACAAGAACTTCCGGGATTGCCATTGGTAAATGTTGAGGTCATGTGGTATCATGATTTACGAGTGCATCGCTTTGCAGCAGAAATCCCAATCCCAATTGCCATTGTAACCAGGGGATTACCTGTATTGGGATATATTTAATACAAGCCTGCCTTTAACTAGTCGAGTATAGCTTGGACTGCGTGGCCATTAGGGTAAAAGTCCAAAGGGAAAAGGACACATGATATTCTGAGAATGTATCTGTTTAGCTTTAATATGTAATGGCTTTAGAAATTATGTTTACTTTATAAGTATGTATTTAAATCCAGCTCTAACATGTCTTTCTACAAATATTCAGGTCTGCCTGACACATTGTTCCTTTGGAGATGTGTTGTTCAACTGTTGCAGAGTGAAGAACAGATAGTCAGAGATACAGTTGCTGGAGTTATAAGACTAGCTCTGTCTCAAGAAAATATATTTAGGAAAACAGGTAAGAAATTATTTTCCAGTGATCAATAATTATGAGACTGACTTCAGTGAAAGTGCTAGTTTTCTCTTCTTTGTGTGTTGCAGCCAGTCATACCCACTGTATGTTTGATCACTGGTGTAACACTGCAACATTGTCATTCCATACCTTGCAGGAATATATGACACAATAGAAATAGAAATAGAGCTGGAAGGGACCTTGGAGGTCTTCTAGTCCAGCCCCTGCTCAAGCAGGCGAACCTATACCATTTCAGACAAGTGACTGTCGCCTCTTTTTAAAAATCTCCAGTGATGGAGCGCCCACGATTTCTGAAGGCAAGCTGTTCCACTGGTTAATTGTCCTCACTGTCAGGAAGTTTCTCCTTAATTCCAGGTTGCTTCTCTCTTTGATCAGTTTCCAACCATTATTTCTTGTCCTATCCTCTGGTGCTCTGGAGAATAATGTGACCCCCTCTTCTTTGTGGCAGCCCCACAAATACTGGAATACTGCTATCATGTCTCCCCTATTTCTTCTTTTCTTTAGACTACTAGCCAAACCTAAATCTGCAGCCATTCTTCATATGTTTTAGCCTCCAGGCCTTTGATCATCTTAGTTGCTCTTCTCTGAACTTTTTCCAAACTCTCAACATCTTTTTGTAGTATGGTGACCAAAATAATAATAATAATAATAATAATAATAATAATAATAATAATAATAATAATAATAATAATAATAATAATAATAATAATAATAATAATAATAATAATAATAATAATAATTATTATTATTATTATTATTATTATTATTATTGGAAGTCATCTAGTCCAACCCCCTGCTCAGGCAGGAAACCCTATACCATTTCGGACAAATGGCTGTCCAGTCTCTTCTTAAAAACTTCCAGTGTTGGAGCATTCACCGCTTCTGGAGGCAGGTTGTTCCACTGGTTAATTGTTCTAACTGTCAGGAAGTTTCTCCTTAGTACTAGGTTGCTTCTCTCCTTGATTAGTTTCCATCCGTTGCTTCTTGTCCTGCCTTCAGGTGCTTTGGAGAATAGCTTGACTCCCTCTTCTTTGTGGCAGCCCCTGAGATATTGGAACACTGCTATCATGTCCCCCCTCGTCCTTCTCTTCATTAAACTAGATCCCTCTCACAGTTACTACTGTTGAGCAAGGTACCCCCTGTACTATACCTGTACATTTGGTTTTTCTTGCCTAAATGTAGAACCTTACTTTTTTCACCATTGAATTTCATTTTGTTGGATAGCACTCAGATACAGATCCTCCTGTATCCTAAGCCTATCTTCTGGAGTGTTGGCTATTCCTGCCAGCTTGGTGTTGTCTGCAAATTTGATGAGTTCCCCATCTATCGCCTCGTCCAAATCATTGATGAAGATGTTGAAGAGCACTGGGCCCAGAACAGAGTCCTGGGCACAGTTCCCTCCATGTAGATGCAGTTCCATTGAGGACCACACGCTGAGTATGGCCGGTCAGCCAGCTACGAATCCATCTGGTGGTGATGCTGTCTAACCCACATTTTTCTATCTTATTGAGTAGTAGGTTGTGATCTACTTTATCAAATGCCTTACTGAAGTCCAAGTAAATTATATCCACAGCATTCCTCTGATCCACTAATTTTGTCACTTGATCAAAGAATGCAATAAGATTTGTCTGGCATGATCTGTTTTTGACAAACCCATGTTGGCTTTTAGTAATGATTTGTTTGCCTCTAGGTGTTTGCTGATTCGTTGTTTGATTATCTTTTCCAGAATCTTCCCAGGTATTGAGGTCAGGCTGATAGTTCTGTAATTTCCTGGATCCATTTTTTTCCCCTTTTTTGAAGATGGGAACTACATCAGCTCTTTTCCAGTCCTCTGGTAGTTCCCCAGTGTTCCAGGATCTTTGAAAAATATAGTTCAGTGGTTCTGAGATCACATCTGCCAGTTCCTTGAGAACCTTGGGGTGTAATCCATCTGGTCTTGGTAATTTGAACTCGTCTAGGTTGGACAGGTGCTCACTTACTATTTTCTTGCCTATCTTAACTTGTGTTTCTATTCTGTCCTCCTCCTCCTCCTTCTTCTCCCCCCTCTCCGTTAACTGCCTCCTACATGCCCAAAGCCTCTTATCCAGAATTTCAAGGACATATCCAGAAACATTTGAAACTGGGCAAGAAGATCTTGTGGCACAAGGACTCCTTTAGGAGCAAGATTCCTCTACCTATTCCAATATTTTTTTCTTTGCACTATGGAAGACTTCTTGGAGACCTTTTCACTTGCAAAGAGCACTAGTTGCAAAGTGAGAGGAAAGGGAAAGAGAGAGATTGGCTACAAAACTTATCTTCACCTTCTGTAGCCACTGGGCCCAATCCTCCATTTTAAAATGATAATGATGCTACAGAAAAATATCATTTTAAGTACAAATATTGTTTTTCTTTCTTAGTTTTATTTTATGTCTGGGGAAAGAGCTAGAACCACCAATTAAGGAAAAAGAAAAGGGAATGCTTATCATCCACATGTCATTTACTCTTCCTTGCCAGTTCATTAAAAAGGCCTGTGAATATATTTGGCAGAATTCTTAGTGAAAGTACAGAAAAGATGATAATGAGCAAAATTTGAGAAGTGCAATGTGATCAGGTAAGCAGTGTCCAGGGCAGGTTCTTACTTTCCAGTAAGTCACTAAGAATTGAATGAATATGAGGAAGCTGATTTATCATATGTGGGAAATCATACAATAAAATGAATAGCACTGAAGTAGTTTCTGCTAATATGAAATTGATGATTATGTTGCGAACCATGTCAATTAAACTGGTAGGATCCAGGAAGAGAGTCTTCTCTGCTGTTGCCCCCCTCCCTTTGGAACATTCTTCCTCCAGAGGTGAGGCTGTCACCCCCTGTCCTAGCCTTTCAGAAATGTCTAAAGACTGGCTCCTATGGATTACATGGACAGTGCTTGGTTCTTTTTGTGAATAAATCCAAATCCAAGGAGAAGAGTTTATTGGCAATGTTGCAGAAATCCTACCCTCTCTGTTTCCGATTCATATTTTTAGCAGTTGATACACGCAGTAAATACAAATATGTGTGTTCTTAACATATTAAAAATTATTAAGGTGGTACAGAAGATTAATAAATCTCTTTCACTTCAGCAAACCTCTTCTCCTGCTATTATAATAGATTCTATGCTCATTTTTGATATGTCGTTCAGAATAAGAAAATGTTAAAAGCAAGCATCAGCTACAAGAGTGAAACATGATAAACTAAAAAGTTGTTGCAATTAAGTTGCTTTTTCTAATCGTTTTTTTAAAGCATTAGAAACAACTAGATGTATAGAAATCACACTTACAACCCTATGACTTGATAACATTCTCTGTAGTTGGCCATGATGAATTCAAGGGCCTATGTCTAACATCAGAGATTTCCCTATCTTTCTTTCAAGTGATGTACTAGATCCTTGAAGGGTGTTTAAGTGTGAAAACTCTCTGCTCAAATAGACATTAAGACTACAGAAGAATTTAAAAAGGAAATTTAAATAGATGTATAAGTTAAGGTTTAGAGAACTTGAAAAGACAGTCAGGGCTCTTCTTTTTATACTTTAACTATTATCAGACTAATAGGCCAAATCTATCAAGGCATGATTCTGATGTCAGAAGAGGCTTTACCAAAGAAGTTTTAATGGAGTCCTTGGTGTTCTCTGAGCTTGGTTGTTTGCTTGTAGACATTTTATTACCCCACTAGGTAACATCATCAGTGCTGATGACTGTGAGGTTTGCTTCCTGTGTTATATATAGTAGTTTAGCCTGCCAGTATTGGAGGGGATGTGGTTTTCTCCTTATGAATTCCTTAGTTAGATATCGTTTTTTCTCCGATTGTTCGTCTGGTGTTAATCCCTATTTATTTGGGAGTGGGCAGCCACACTGATGGTTTTGGTCTTTTTGTTCCCTTCTTAGCTTTTTAATTATCTCTTTTGACTAGTGTGTAAATGACAAACAACCAAGCAGAAAGCAATATCCTAATCAAGAAATTAATCAAGATCATCAGTACTAATCAAGATCACGCATACCCTAATGAGTATTTCAAAAGTTAACCAGTGGGCAGTAAATCTGTATTTTATCCTTGTCCAAATAAGCCTTCGTTGTGGTGAGGAACTATTGACGAATTAATAGTAGATGCTGCTCAACCAAATTGGAAGGAACATTTTTGTGAGTTACTTTGCCATTAATACAAGATGGTTAGTAAAACACATTGGAGTGCTAAAAGCTCTGTTGAGTACTTCAGATAAGAAAGTCTGGGAACAAATGAAAGTAAGGATTGGAAAATCTGCATTGATATTTTTAGTCACACTTAAAGAGCATAAAAATAAAATGGCCTCCCTTAAAAAATGACAGCTGGTTAAATAAAAGATCCTTCTCCTAAGGCAGATGCCATCATAAACACTTTGTGTAAGAAATGTAATTCAGGCAAGCCGAATGAATTTCTGGCTCCATGTTGCTTGAAGGAAATATGGTTAAGAAATGGAGGGTGCCATCTAGGTACTATATCAACCCTGACAGGAAATATACAGAGGTTTTAAGGATGCAAACACTGATGTCCATTTTTAAATTTTTTTAAAGCAAAATTGAAATAATGCTATTTTATAGCCTCAATAGGCTCAACATTCCTAAGCCCAGTTGAGTAAATGACTGCATAAATGTACCTCTTACAGAATTAATACAATCTATGCATGATGTTATACATTATTGGATTTAAATTGAGATTTCAGAAAACTATATTTGTAAGTAAGATTGCTGATTTAATATTTGGTTCAAATTACAGGTAGTCTTTGGCTTGCCACCACAATTGGGGCCAGAATTTCCATTATAGGTCATTGTGATCATAAGTCGACTCAGACTTGATTTCACAACCATTTTTATGATAGTCATTAAGTGAATCACTGTGGTCATTAAACAAGTCCATAGTTGTAAATGCAAACCAGTTTTTCCAAACGAGTGGGTGTGGTTTTTTTTGCCAGCAAGAAACCAGCAAAAATAGTTGT